TATTATAAAAAAATGTAACTACGTTATCCCAACTTTTTTTTTTTGTATAATGAAATTGTAATAATTATGATGCATTTATGTATATATGATATGATAATTTTTATCAAGTACTTAGCAGCTTTAATTTCAAAATAAATACAGTAGAAAATAATTGAAATTTTTTAAAATTATTGAGTTCAAAGTTTTAATTTAAGTATTTTAACTTATCCAAATTCAAAGTATTTGAAGCTTATCCAAATAAGTATTTTAAGTTTATCCAAGGTTTTAACTTTCAATCCTGATAGCATTTATAAATCAATATATTTGGTCAAAAATTTTTGATACCTGGAGAGCTTGATATCTTGCATGAACTACTATGTCAGTTACATTTTTTTATGAGTAATACTATAATGATACAATTTTATAATTTTATTGTTATATATTACAGAAATAATATTTTGACTACCTTAATCGGCCCTGGCTCATAAAAGTGCGGGTTGGCCCTCAGCCCACTTGCCTGCTCAGCTGATAGACCAGGATCAGCTCGTATCACTACTTCCGGTACTTAATCAATTATTGATATTATTGCTTATAATATTAAATCTATGATTCTCTCTATTAACTATAGTACTGCTATTACTTCAGGTTTATCAAAAGATTTAGTGAATATTAAAGATCCTAAAAAAAAATTATCAGATTATATTAACTTAGATGAAGAAGATATATGATCAGATTATAATAATAATGAAAAAGATATAGAATTAGAGGAAGAAAAAAGCAAACCTAAGAAAAAAAAAAGTGTTGTTAGAATAGTTAAGAAAGATAAAAAAGAGTTATAATCAGATTATGATGATAATAAAAAAGACACAGAATTAGAGGAAGAAGAAAACCAATTTAAGAAAAGAAAAAGAAGTATTAGAATAGCTAAGAAAGAAATTAAAAAGAAAAATGAAAAATAATTAAATCAAGTTTTTATCATCTTATTTGTCACATCTTTTATGTAACTTGTAATATATATTTCGATGATGAAATTTTTTAATAAATATAAATTAGTGTCTATTTTCTAGTAAATTTATAAGGATATATCAGACTAATATACTATGAAAAAACCTTAATATATTACTATAATTTAAATTTATTGAATCAATCTATTGTCTGATTATAATAATTAATAATTTAAAAAGCTAAGATATAATATCAAAATGTATGAAATTTAAAATAACCAATTATTCTAGATTTAAACCAAAAGCGTAGTTTTTAATGAACTATTCTAAAGAAAAATAAGAACTATATTTTAATTTAGTAATTATTAAAAATTGATGATAATATTTCATAAAATTTAATCTGATTATTTATATGATATTGTATTATTTCTAGTTAAACAAAATTGAAATTATATAATTTCACGTAAAATTGAATAGTATAATTGTTTTTAATTGGTTAATTCTTGCATTAGCTATGATCTACTTATGAACCTACTTAAAAACTGTTTTTGAATCTAAATACTATTTATAAGTCATCGTTATATCTAATT